TTTTTTTTTTTTTTTTTTTTTTTGTAACTCACATACAGAAGGTTGAGTCATTCATTCAGTCTACAGTTCATGGCACTGTGTGATTTCCCACTCTGTTGCAAAGCTCTTCTTTTGTTTATTTGTTTCCTTCTGTATACCTATTCCACTCTCCATCTCTTCTCTGACCCAGAGGCAGCCATTCTGTTATATTTCTGTCTTTTGTATGCATTCGTAGAAAATGTGCTGTGAATGTACACATGTTTTACATTTAAATATTTTTAAGATATAATTTAACATACATTAAAATCTGCCTTTTTAGTATATAGTTCCACAAGGGTTTTGTTGTTGTTGTTGTTGTTGTTGTTGTTGTTGCTTTTTAAAAAGACACGGTCTTGCTCTGTCACCAAGCTGGAGTGCAGTGGTGAGATTATAGCTCACTGTGACCTCAAACTCCTGGCCTCAAGAGATCTTCCCACCTCAGCCTCCCCAGTAGCTGGGACTACAGAAATGTGCTACCATGTGTGGCTAATTTTATTTTTAATTTTTGTTTTCGTAGAGTTGAAGTCTCACTATATTATCCAGGCTGGTCTTGAATTCCTGGGCTCAAGTGATCCTCCTGCTTCTTCCTCCCAAAGTGCTGGGATTACTAAGCTGGCTGAGAATAGTATTTAGAAGCCAAGGTCTGGGTTCTAGGTGTGCTCATGGGTATTGGGGTGTCATTGCTTCTAGGTGCTCTCAAGGGACAGAGCTAGGAAATATATGTATACTAACAGAAATATTTCACACACATATCTTTATTTCTGTATCTGTCCACCTGTATGTGTATTCACATGAGTTCAGACTGATACCTTTGATTCCAACCCACTGTCACAGGATTCATTTTAACTTGACCCTCTTCCTTATTGGTAACTTCATTTTCAGACAGTGAGAAATCTAGCTGTATTTATCTACAACATATTTACTTATTGGTTCAATCTTAGTATACACATAAGGTAGCTTCATTATTGCTAACATACTTCTTTCTGTGATTGAGGTTTGCCTGATATTTTCCCATAATTAGATCCCGTTTATTCAGTTTTGTCAAGAGTACACACATTTATTAGTGACAGTACAGAATTTGTATACAGTTCTTTTTGCTGTTATGGTATACAGTCAAAATGTTTTGCAAAGTTACTCCAGTTAGTGCGTTTCTTCTTCACCCCTTCAATGTAAATATTATTCAATTTAAATACAATATTATTCATTTGTAATACAATTAAGCTTATTTGTTAATGTTTGTATTTCACTTTGGGTCCCCCTCCCCAACCACATTGTGATAGATGATTATTTATTTTTTGAGTGAGTGAAACATTGCCATGATTCTAAAAAGTCAGAACCATGAAAAGAAATACTCAGAGAGGCATCACTCTCATTATCTCACCTAGCCCATTCACCCACTATTTCTACCCAGTTCTTATCTTCTCTCTGTTTAGATAGCTAATCTCATTATTCTGATTTATCTTTTCTGTATTTCTTTGGTACAATGAGAAAATAAGCATATATTTTCTTAATCTCTTTTTTCTTACATGAAAGGTAATATACTACAGACAGTCTTTATACTTTGCTTTTTGCAAACCACATGCCTGTGGTTCCAGCTACTCAGGAGGCTGAGGCGGGAGAATTGCTTGAGCCAAGAAGTTGAGGCTGCAGGGAGCCATGATCACACCATTGTACTCCAGCCTGGATGACAGAGCAAGACCCTATCTCAAACAACACAACACAAAACAAAACAAAACAACTGATGTCTGGGTCCTATCACTAGAGATTCTGATTGTAACTGGCCTGGCATGGGTCTGAGCATTTGTTCTTTGCATAGCTCTCCAGGTGATTCTCATGAGCAGCCAGTGTCAAGAACCACTGACCTAGAACCTGAGCCAGGGCTATGGCAGCAGAGAGCCAGGCAGGGCTGGATGCTCTAAAGCTCATGGAAAGAAATCATTGGTCAATATAAAGAAAATCTCACTAATACTATTGACCCTTGAACAACATGGGTTTGAACTGCATGGGTCCATTTATATGAGGGTTTTTTTCAACTAAATGCAGATTAAAAATACAGCAAAACCCGTGTATATTAGGCCATTCTCATGCTGCTATAAGGACATACCTGAGACTGGGTAATTTATAGAGGAAGAGGTTTAATTGACTCACAGTTCTGCAGGGATGGGAAGGCCTCAGGAAACTTACAATCATGGTGGAAGGGGAACCATGTCCTTCTTCACAAGTCAGCAGGAGAGAGAAGAATGAGAACTGAGTGAAGGGAGAAGCCCCATATAAAGCCATCAGATCTCCTGATGAGAACTTACTCACCATCACAAGAATAGCATGGGGGAACCCACCCCTATGATTCAGTTATCTCCCATGGGTCCTTCCCATGACTCGTGGGGATTATGGGAGCTACAATTCGAGATGAGATTTGGGTGGGGATACAGTCAAACCATTATCACTGTGTATATACAGAGGGCTGCCTTTTTCTATACACAGGTTCTGCAAGGCTGACTGCAGGAATTGATTACGTGCAGATTTTGGAATTCTTGGGGGGTCCTACAACCAATGCACTGTATAAACGAGGGGATGACTGTAGTGAGAATTGTCCACGGTTTTAAGGGCTGGTTGGTTCCTCATTTCTGGAAGTGTGCAAGCAGAGACCAGATAACCGCTTGCAGGACATGGAGGAAAGATCCAAGCTCAGAGGGGACTTGGTTTAGAGGGCTTGCGGTCTCTGGCTCTTGATGGGTGGCCATCTCTCACTCTGTGGGGGCCTCTGTCATTGCAGGGTGGCCCTTCGACAATGCCACATGCAAGATGAGCGGCTTGGTGCAGGGCATGTCTGTGTCAGCTTCCGTTTTCACGCTGGTGGCCATTGCTGTGGAAAGGTGAGAGGTTTCCTGGATGGATTATCCCTGGGCCAACTAGGGCCTGGCATTAAGAGGAGCCACTGCCTCTAATGCTGGATTGGCTGGAAGACTGGGGCTGCACTGTGGTAAGTGGGGCTAAATCCTGACCTGCAAGAAGAAGGGTTGTGGACCCAGCTGCCCTCTCCCTAAACTTGGGGAACCTGATAAGGACACTACCACCCCCTTCTGGAAGGCCTGAAGGCAGCCTTAGTTGGCTTTCGTTGAGATTCCTGGGGTCTGTGAGGAGCTCAAGAGCAGTCCTCATTTCCTGAGCAGCAGGAATCTAAGCCAGGAGAGCCAGAGCTAAGGGGGACAGCTTAGGGGTGGGTCTCAGTATGGCTGGGGAGGAAGGCTTCCTCCCTGCTCCTCATTCTGTCCCCACTGGCTCCTGCTGGTTCCTGGCAGCCCAGGCCATACTCAATCCCCATGTTCACCCCTTCTGGTTTTTCAGCTTCACATTCCATCGGATTCCCTAGTAAGTATAAGTCTATCATGTGGCCAGAGGTATGGAGCAGAGCCAGGGACAAGGAGGCTTTGCAATCAATAAAGCACTGATTTATTGAGGAGGCCTCCATATTGCACTGCATGAGTGCTCCTCCCCCACAGCATTGTTAGTGGTAGAAGGGCATCCTCTGGTTGCAGGGAAAGGTGGGCAGGCAGATCAGCTGGAGGTGTGCTCACTCCTATCTTGGTGTATCATGTTGGGTGGGTCACCCAACTACTCTGAGCCCCTGTAGTCTCACCTGTAAAATAGTAGCTACCCTACAGGATGGTTGGGAGGCTTCAGTGAGCTCCTGCTTGTAAAAGCTTATGCACAGTTCCTGGCACAGAGTCCAAATATCAGTTGCTAATAGTATTTTGTTTCTTCTGCACACCCATTCCCTCCTCCTTGTTCTCTCCCCAGCATGAGCATATCTTAGCCCTGCCCTTTATAGAATCTAGTGTTCACATCCTCTCTCCATCTCAAGCCCAGTTTTTTGTAACTCAGTGAAGTAGGCAGCTGGAGTAATGAAGTGGGTTCTACTCTCCACAAGGCCACTAACTAGCTGGGTGATCAGGAGAAGTCCCTTCCCTTCATCGACCTTTGTTTTGTTATCATTGTTGGATGAAATGAGAGTGTACTACTTCTCCCAGTGGTGTTTGCAGTATTCTTCAAGTCTCACCTCATCCAGGAAGCCTGCCCAGATTACCCCAAGATTCTCCTCCACCCATTTACTGCTATTGCACTCATAGCCAGTACTGCAGGCTTTAAGAATTATTTATTCTCTGGAGATCTTTTCTTTTCTTTCTTTTTTTTTTTTTTTGGGTGGGGAGACAGCGTCTTGCTCTGTCACCCAGGCTGGAGGGCCATGGCGATCTTGACTTACTGCAACCTCTGCCTCCCAGGTTCAAGCCATTCTCCTGCCTCAGCCTCTGGAGTAGCTGGGATTACAGGTGCACACCACCATGCATGGCTAATTTTTGTATTTTTAGTGGAGCAGGGTTTCACCATGTTGGCCAGGCTGGTCTCGAACTCCTGGTCTCAAGTGATCCGCCCTCCTCAGCCTCCCAAAGTGCTAGCATAAGCCACTATTCTCTGGAGCTTTCTTGAGGGTGTGAAGTATGAAGCCAGTAGGTCAAAGTAGGTCAAAGACAACAAGGCTTGAGTCAGGCTGTGGGAGAGGTAAAAGGTCAGGCTATGAGGCCAAAAACTGGGTTGGCAGGAGGGCAGGATGCAGTGTAGTGAAGTGGAAAGGACACTTGACTGACAGTCAGCTCTAGACCTATGTTCCAGTGCAGGTTCTGACTCTAAACAGCCACGTGACCGTAAGACCCCCACTGGGCAAGGTTTCCCCTCCATTAAACAAGTAAGATTGACTGTACATTCTCCAGGTTTCTATTTTCTGGCATCAGTAGATGACAGAAGCCATTCTGGGGAGTAGGAGCCCCCCACCTTTTTCCTCATTATTAAACATTTGAAATGTCTCAAGAAGTGTGGTGTTATCTCACTTAATCTTCACAACTACCCCATAGAGTAGGTCATACTATTGGCCTCATTTTACAGATGAGGAAACTAAGGCTCAGAAAGTATTTTGAGTAACTTCCCCTCTCGTCATTCAGGCATTTATCTAATCACACTCTATCGAGATGAAAAGTCATGGCATCTGCCCTCAAAGAGCTTGCAGTTGAGCAATCACCTTTGCACCACGCTGCAGGGGGAGATTTTTACCTACCCCTTCAGCAGCTGTTTTCAACTCTGGTTGCACAGTAGACTTCCCCAGGAGTTTTTTGTTTTGTTTTGTTTTGTTTTTTTGAGACAAGGTCTTGCTCTCTTGCCTAGGCTGGAGTGCAGTGGTCTGATCATGGCTCACTGCAGTCTCAATCTCAACCTCCTGGACTCAAGTGATTATCCTGCCTCAGCCTCCTGTGGAGCTGGGAGAATAGGCAAGCATCCCCTCGCCTGGTTAATTTTTTTGGTAGAGATGGGGTTTCACAATGTTTCCCAGGCTGGTCTCCAACTCCCGGGTTCAAGTGATCCTCCTGCCTTGGCCTCCCAAAGTGCTGGGATTATAAGCATGAACCATGGCACCTGACCCCAGGAGCTTTAAAAACAAAAACAACAAATAACAAACAATGCTAAAATCCCTTTCTAGACTAATTAGGTTGGAATCCTTGGCCTGAATACGTAGGAACGGGTTTTGTTTTTGTTGTTGAAATGCTTCAGGAGAGTCTCATGCACATGGAGGGTTAACAGCTACTGGTTTATATGGCATATGAAGCAAGACAAATCTGGGTTCAAGGCTGGTCCTTGCAACTTGCTGTGTGACCTTGAGCCAATTGCTTAACACTTGAGTCCCAGTTTCCTTGTCTGTAAATCAACAGCATAATAACTATCTTAAAGGCCTCACCTTTAAAAAATAAGAAAGGGTGTAATAACAGATGCTGAGTTGTCTTCATGAGGAAATAAATGGTGCAGACTTGTCCTTGCATTGTGGAGATACTGACTATGGCCAAGATGACATAGGGACAGCCTGACATGTAGGCTCTACATCTGACCTCCTGAGGTTTTCTGGAGAATCCATAAACAGAAACTGTGTTATTGGACGCACCTAATCGTCCTTCTCAAGGACAGACTGTGCACTCTGATCGCTCTGCTAGCTGCCAGCTAATCAGTTTAACCCCAAAAGTACATAAAGGGCCCCGTGAGGCGGCTCACACCGGCGTGGCCGCGCATTCCTGTGGTTCCAGCTACTCAGGAGGCTGAGGTGGGAGAATCACTTGAGCCCGCGAAGTAGAGGTTGCAGGGAGCCATAATTGCGCCACTGTACTCCAGCCTGGGCGACGGAGGGAGACCCTGTCTCAGGAAAAAAAAAAAAAAAAAAGAAAAGTGCAAAAGTGCACACAGGATTCATTGTTCCCACATGATCTGCGGTTTCCTCCTCCCTTCTCATAAATCCTGTAGCTGCCTTTGTTCTTTGACTACTCAGCCAATTCAGGTCTCAGCTGTTCTTCGAAGCCGCCCTAGATGCGATAATGAAGGTCAGGTGCCCGCATCCGACCCTCCTTCCCCTCGCGGGGACCCTAGGACCCACCCAGATCCCGCCTCTCTCTCTCTCGGCGGCAGGTTCCGCTGCATCGTGTATCCTTTCCGCGAGAAGCTGACCCTGCGGAAGGCGCTGGTCACCATCGCCGTCATCTGGGCCCTGGCACTGCTCATCATGTGTCCCTCGGCCGTCACGCTGACTGTCACCCGTGAGGAGCACCACTTCATGGTGGACGCCCGCAACCGCTCCTACCCGCTCTACTCGTGCTGGGAGGCCTGGCCCGAGAAGGGCATGCGCAAGGTCTACACCACTGTGCTCTTCTCGCACATCTACCTGGCGCCGCTGGCGCTCATCGTGGTCATGTACGCCCGCATCGCTCGCAAGCTCTGCCAGGCCCCGGGCCCGGCCCGCGGTGGGGAGGAGGCGGCGGACGGGCGGGCTGCGCGGCGCAGGGCGCGCGTGGTGCACATGCTGGTCATGGTGGCGCTCTTCTTCACACTGTCCTGGCTGCCGCTCTGGGCGCTGTTGCTGCTCATCGACTACGGGCAGCTCAGCGCGCCGCAGCTGCACCTGGTCACCGTCTACGCCTTCCCCTTCGCGCACTGGCTGGCCTTCTTCAACAGCAGCGCCAACCCCATTATCTACGGCTACTTCAACGAGAACTTCCGCCGCGGCTTCCAGGCGGCCTTCCGCGCCCGCCTCTGCCAGCGCCCGTTGGGGAGCCACAAGGGGGCCTACTCCGAGCGGCCCGGCGGGCTTCTGCACAGGCGGGTCTTCGTGGCGGTGCGCCCCAGCGACTCCAGGCTGCCCTCTGAGTCGGGCCCTAGCAGTGGGGCCCCTAGGCCCGGCCGCCTCCCGCTGCGGAATGGGCGGGTGGCCCACCACGGCTTGGCCAGGGAAGGGCCTGGCTGCTCCCACCTGCCCCTCACCATTCCAGCCTGGGATATCTGAGGTGGTCCCGGGAGGGCTGGCCCCTGCCTGAGGGCCCCGACTGGACACGAGATACATGCGCGCGACAGCGGCCTGGTGAGGTTAGGAGAGGATGCATGGTGCCTCCCTCTCCAGAGCCAGGCAGTGGTGGGTGGCTGCTGGTGATGTCTTCTCTGCTGCCTTCACCCTCAGTAGAGGCAAATGCGGGGGACAGGAAGGAACCAACTTGCCCTGAAACCCTTCTGTGTGGTGGGCTTGACAAACATCATCTCACTGAATTGTCACAACGCTTTGGAGATAGGTTTTCTTCTCTTTCTTCTACAGATGCAAAAACTGAGGCCTGGAGAGGAGACGTGACTCGCCCAAGGTTCTCAGGCGGAAATGGCATGCGAAGCCATCTGACTCCAATGCCTGTGTGGTTTTTATCATCTCCAGCTGGCTCCAAGAGGGCCCCAGTAAGGAAGGTAGAACACTGTGAACTGAGTAAGTCCTAATTAGGCAGCTAGGAAGAAGCGAAAAGCAAAGCCGGCCTGTCCCTTGATGCTTTGTGTCCATGTGAGGGAGTCCCTCATTTTCCGTTACTGAAGCCACTCCTCTTGATCCTTTTCTAGAAGAACATGGTGTGCCCCCGCTGCTAGCTCTAATGTGTTGGTTTGTCTTGTTTGTTCCAAGAAGTTCCAAGAAGCCATTGTCCTCAGAGCCTGGCAGCTTCAGAACGAGCCTTGGGGAGGCTGCCTCAGTTGCAGGGCACTCTAGGTCTTGCCCTCTGGATCTGAGCTTAGAGAACGGAGGAGGGACTCCCAGACCCAGGCAAGAGCTTACAATGCCACAGACATTGTAATGCTGCAGGGCCACAGGAGGTGTCCTTTTAAGTACTCAGACAACAAGGAAGAGGAAGCACGGTATGCATTTTCCACACTGGGAAACATCTGCTCACTGGGGCTGCAGGTACAAAGCCTTGCCCAAGGTCTCTCTCCTCCCTGTTTCCTGGGAGGGAGAAGTTGGTCAACCGAAGCTGCAGCCGGCGTGCCCTTTGGAGACTCCTGAAGGACACACATTAAACTCTTCCCCAGCACAAATGACTTGTGTGCCCTAAAGACGTACCAGGAGAGCCCTGTTTACTCTGGCTTTCCCCCAGCACCCCTGCATCAACTTGAAGAAATGTGGCTTTTTTCCAGGGGACAGGGGCACATGGGATTGCCTTGGGGGGGTCCTTTCACAGGCCCCTTCATCTTGCAGTTAACTGGACATTTCCCCCCACCTCTATAGAAAACACGACGTTGCTAGAAATTTAGTAAACAGAAAAGAAACTTTTCCAGGGGTCAGGGCTCTGAGGCTCTGTTCCCTTAACCGATACACAATGTTTACTGTTTGCTCCACTCTAAGTTCCAGGTACAGGGGCAGAATACAATTCCTAAGCAGTTGTACAATACATTCTCCAAGCATGTCCCCAGACACTGTCTCATTTAATCCATAGTAATGAGGTTGAAGGAGATTGAATGTTATTGTCATTTCACAAAGTGACTGAAGCTCAAAGGGGCCAAATTCCCAGGGCCACAGAGGGGCAGGATTTAGATTAAAATTTGTCTTCTGATTGTTCTTCCCGCCCTGCATGCTGCCTTTCAAGGAAGGTGGGCATGATGGGCGAGGTGGTAATTTCCCCAAAGGTTTTTTGCCTAACAGTGAACCAGAATGCCCCTCCTGGTGCCCAAGCTCTTGGTCTGGAAAGAAATCTATTGTGTTTACTCTCGTGATGTCCGGCCTGAGTTGTTCTTACCCTCATGCTGAGCAGGCTGCCAAGAGCCATCATGACTTTGTCCTGGGGGTGATGGATGAGGGTCTCAGAGAGGGTATGCCGTCCTGCCCCTCAGTGGCATTAGCTGGTGCCATGCATTTCTGGTACTGTGTCAGTGTCATGTGTCACATAGGCCAGAGAGTTCTGGGCTATTTATGTGAATAAATAGCTGGTTCTGGGCTATTTATGTGAAGAAGTCTGACTCCAGGCTCTAAAAGTAAGCCAGAGAAAGGGCCATCTCAAACCCCAAATGCCTATCCCTATGGCTGGGTGTGAACTGTCTGAAGACACCATCTGGTGTCTCCTATGGGGTGTGTTTCTCCTTTAGCATAGCCTCCCTAAGTACAAAATCAGTATTTGGGGCTGGGGGCAGGTACGGATACCAAGGTACTCACTCAAGCCAACCTTTCCATCACAGCCCCTTTATCCTCCCCCAAAAGATGTCATGCTTTGACAGGTTATAACTGCCCAAAAAACTCCTTCAACTCTCACTGAAGATCACAATTAACGTATTTTGCTGTTGTTTTTGTTTCTTCTAGGCTATACCTGCCCATTCAGATCTGAGTGATAACAGGTGTGACTTAATGCTTTAATGAAGCAGTGAGACGTTGTGGGTATGTAGGGAGTTTGTTTCTTTGTGGATGTGGTAAAATATAAATAATACAAAATTTACCATTTTGGCCATTTTTAAGTGTACAGTTCTGGAATTAAATATATTCACATTGTTGTGTAACCATTACCACTATCTATTTTCAGAACTTTTTTATTATCCCAAACTGCAACTCTGTATCCATAAAGAGTATCACCCCATCCCCTCTCCTCCTAGCCCCTGGTAACTACTATTCTACTTTCTGTCTGTGAATTTGGCCACTCTAGGTACTTCTATACAAGAGGAATCGTACAGTATTATCCTTTTTGACTGGCTTCTTTCACTTCGCATAATGTCTTCGAGGTTCATCCATGTTGTGGCATGTGTCAGAATTTCTTTCTTTTAAAAGCTGAATAATATCCCATTGTCTAGATAGTCCTCATTTTATTCATTCATCCATCAGTGGACACTTAGGTTGTTTCTATCTTTTGGCTACTGTGAATAATGTTGGAGTTTTTAGATGCTAGAAGTAGTTCCTGACAATAGTGCCTGTGTGAATCCTGAGGACAAATACCCCAGGTTGGGAACCAGGGTCTCTCCCAACTTACCATTTATGGGTGACAAAACAGAGGCTTCCAGGACAGCTGTGATGTGTCTCACTTACCTGTGCCCACCCCAGCTGCTCTGGGATTCTGCTGGGCTTTACTTCTTGACTAGAGTGGCTAGAAAATTGTATGTTTCCTCTACAAGATGTTTTTATGAAGCTATTTTATAATTATAGACTTATTATCCTCACTGGATTCCTATGTTCTGACACCTGGACCTTAACGGGGCCTTGTGCAGCCAAGGCACCCAAGGGCAGGCGGTGTGGACCATTCCTGACGCGCCATCGTCCACCTCCAGGTTGGCTGGGTTTCCTAAGGTGACTGCCCTTTCATAAGCGGAAAGTTCGGAGATGAACGGGATGTGTGATGGGGGAAAAGGGCCAGAGGCCTGTTGACACTGAGCATCCCCACCCAGAGGGCCTCCTGGAGGGACTCTGTGTCCTGTCCTGCCATGTGCAGCATGAGTGGTCACCCTCATTGTGGGTCTCCAGTGATGAATGGCCTCTTGACTTTACCAAGACCAGGCAGCACCCAACAGACCAATGTGAGCTGGAGGCGGATGCCGGGCCCGGACCCCACAAACCACAGTCTGCCCGGCCCTGTGCTGAGGAGTCTCTCTTGGGGCCTGGAGGACGCATGAGCTAATTTGCATTGGAATGGAGGGCGAAGTTGGCAAAGGAAGATGAGAGCCCCCCTATCATTAGTCTACTGTGTATTCATCCAAAAAGCAAGGTGAGAGCCAAGCCCAGGGCTGGATGGACAAAGCATTGCTATTAAGCTCTGTACCTTTTTGCACCCGTTTCCTCAGCTCACCCCTCAGAAGTGCCACTGATGAAAGATAGATGAGAAGGAGGCAGTCTAAATGGGCTTCATTACAACAAACAATGTTGAATGAACAATACATTCCTTGTTGAATAACCCAATTATTTATGATCATGGCATTTTATTGTTGTTTTTCTCTGTCTCTACAAAAGCCCTACATAATCATTGTGGAAATTTTACAAGATCTCGATAAGCAAAGACAAGAAAACGAAAAGCACCCAAATCCTACCACAGGAGATAAGCATAGAGTCCTTTTCTGTGCATGTATCTCTCAATATATTTAACATTCTTAGAACAGCTTTATTGAGGCAGAACTTGCATATGAAGAAATTCATCCATCTTAAGTGTACTGCTTGATGAGTTTTAACAATTGTATATAGTTATGTCCCCGTGACACTGAAGATATTTCCATCATCCTAAAATGTTTCCTTGTACTAATTTATAGTCAATCCTTTCCCACGCTCCTGATTCCAGAAAACAATGATCTGATTTCAGAATGTCATGTAGATGGAATCAGTCTGCAGCCGAGTCTGGTTTCTTTCACTTAAAATGATGTTTGCAAGATTCATTCATGCTGTAGCATGTATCAGTAGTTTTTCCTTTAGATTGCTGAGTACTATTCCACTGTATGAATAGATCACATTTTGTTTATCCATTCATCAGTTGATAGACATTTGGTTATCACCAGTTTTTGGCTATTATGAATAATGCTGCTATAAACATTCATGTACAAGTCCTTATATGTATGTGTATGTATGTTTTCCATTTTTCTTGGGTAGATACCTAGGATCAAGATTGGTAGGTTGCATGGTCTGTGTATAATTTAACTGCGTAAGAAACTGCAAAGTGCTTTCCAAAGTCGCTGTACCATTATGCACTCCCATCAGCAGTGTATTCCAGTGTTCTGCATCCTGGCCAACACTTAGCAGTATTAGCCTTTTGAAAATTTCTGGGCCAGGTGTGGTGGCTCACGCCTGTAATCCCAGCACTTTGAGAGGCTGGGGTGGGTAGATCACCTGAGGTCAGGAGCTTGAGACCAGCCTGGCCAACATGGCAAAACCCTATCTCTACTAAAAATATAAAAACTAGACAGGCATGGTGGTGCACACCTGTAGTCCCAGCTACTTGGGAGGCTGAGACATGAGAATCACTTCAACCTAGGAGGCAGAGGATGCAGTGAGCCAAAATTGTACCACTGCACTTCAGCCTGGGTGACAGAG